TGGTGCTAGCATTTCATTAGATTCTCAAATACTTGCTTGTTAAACATTCTATTTTAACAGTAAGAGAGCAGGCCTGAGCCTTAAAGCATTCATCAGGCAACAATATTTTAAACTATATGCCATATTACTTCCTCTTTATAGTAATGTTTTTATGGCTACCTTCTATCTATGACAAATGATACTAGTTTTCCATTTATAATAGTAACATCAAGCTTACTTTTTATGTAAGAGTATGTGAATTTTAAAAAGTCAATTTAAGTAACACATTGTATATGTGGTACTTGGACATGGGGGAAAAATAGGGTAAATAGCATGCCAGTGACTAAAGAGCAGGAAATACTGACCTCCAACAACATGGCCTAGCTCTTTAGAGAGACATGTAATATCCTCCCCAGTTCAGCTCTCACCCACCTTTCTAAGCTCACCTGTGGCAGGTGCCTCCTAAACATCATTCCTTACCAGATACATACTATAAAAGAACTACATTTGCAGTGTTCAAGAAAATGAATGAAAAATTAAAAAATATTGACAGAGAACAGGACTGAAATCATGCAGAGGTTTCCAACCTTTTGGTGTCTCTGGGCCACACTGGAAGAAGAAGAGTTGTCTTGGGCCACACATTAAATACATTGCAACACATGATCACAAAAAAAGTCTCATAATGTTTTAAGTAAATTTACAGTTTTGTGTTGGGCTGAATTCACAGCCATCCTGAGCCACATGCAGCCCACAGGCCACAGTTTGAACAGCCCTGTTAGAGGATACCCTCTGACGACGATGAAATTAAGGTTCGAATTGATAGCAACAAGATAGCTGGAGAATATTGGCATGTTTGGAAATTAAGCAACATGCTTCCAAATAACTCTATGTCAAAAATCATAATGGAGAGTAAAATTTATTTTGAATATTTTAATAAGGAAAATACATATCAAAACTTGTAGGGTACATTTGAGATCATGCTTAGAGGGGAATTTTAGCCATAAATGTGTGTGGTTGAAAAGGAGAAAAGGCTAAAATTAATGAGCTAAGTATATCCCTCTCAAGAACTTAGAAAAAAAAGGAGCAATAAACCCAAAGAAAGAATTAATGAATAAAGGGAAGGACAGAAATTAATATAAAAGAGAAAATACAATAAATTTGTTCTTTGACAAGAGCACTTTAAAATTATCCCTGGCTGCTGTGGCTCAGTGGATTGAGAGCCAGACTGCAAACCAAAGGGTTGCTAGTTTGATTCCCAGTCAGGGTACATGCCTGGGTTGTGGGCCAAGTCCCCAGTAGGGGGCACATGAAAGGCAACCACACATTGATGTTTCTCTCCCTCTCTTTCTCCTTCCCTTCCCCTCTCTCTAAAAGTAAATAAATAAAATATTTTACAAAATAAATTCTTTTTTAAAAGTAGTAAATAAAAAGTAAAAATTCAATCAGCAATTAAAAGTCCTCCCCACCACCTCATGATGGTCAATTTTATCTGCCAATTTCACTAGGCTACAGTTCCCAGTTACTCCACGAAACACTCCTCTACGTGTGGCAGTGAAGGTATTTTATAGATGGGTTTAAAGCACATAATAATTTGACTTTAAGGGAAATTATCCTGGATAATCTAGCTGGGCCTGATTCAATTCATTGAAAGGACTTAACAGCATAACTCAGGCTTTCTTGATGAAGAAATTCTTCCTGTGGATAGCAGCTTCAGCTCCTGCCAGAGGGTTCTAGTCTGCCTTTCCTCACAGACAATGCTATATATTTTGGGATTCCTAGCCAGGCCTGACCGTCATGTAATCTAGCTCCTGGCAATAAATCTCTTTATATATCTCCTACTGATTCTGTGTCTCTGGTTCAACTCTGACTGATACTCCTCACCCCAAATAAAACTTACAGGCTCAGATGATTTCAGAGGTGAATTCCACCAACATTCAAGGAAAAGAGTCCAATTTACAAAAAGAATGATTTGTAGAGAGTAGGAAATTAAGGAAGGCCCTCTAATAGGAATAGAATGCAAAAGGAAAATGACAGACTAATCCCACTGATAAGTATAAATGCAAGAAGAAGCAAAACAAAAAACTCAACAAAATGTTAGCCAAGTGACCATAAGCAAAAAATCATATCACGATTGAGGGTATTGGTGCAGGGGTGCAATTGCAAACCCAGTTGCACAAGGCCAATGGTATTAATGTAAATGGTGAAATTCAATTTGATAATAGCAGCACACCAAAAGTCAAACTTTCTAATGAGATGCATTTTAAATCAACGTGCACATCCTTTGGTTACCTTCATATCCTAGATATCTCTGACACTTTCATGCTACAGGACCCAAGGGCTGAGAATCTGAGCTGAGGAAGATTTTTGGCCTCACAACTGTTTCAACTCCACCCCTGCATTTGTCCCCTGAAAATCCCCACCTCACTCAGGAGTCACAGTCCTCAATCTGCAGCAAACCTTAGTTTCTGGGGACATTTGTTAAAGATGTGAATCATTGGACCTCATTGCTAAGCTGAGAATTAGGAGTTCTGCAGGAGGAGAGTGAGCATGTGTATGTTTCAAAGGTTATCCCAGACTCTTCTACCTTCTAGGGCTTTGAGAGCCAAGTAGCTGTGTCCCCCAGCACAAGTTAGTTACTCCTGAAAGGCTCTGGCTGCCTTGGATGACTGTCCCAGCTCAGCCATTCCTCTAATGGGTTGCCTTGGGGAACTGACCTGTTGGCTCTGAGATTCAATGTCATCATCTTGACCACTGTAGACTTCTGGCCTATAGAGGATGAAAGGGTCACGGCTTTTACGCCTTCCCAGTAGGGCCCCAAATGTGTTGACCTTTGGGAAACAAGGGTGGATTTATTTGGGCAGTCTGGGCTCCAGGGAACTAGTTGTGCCTTGATCATTCCCAGAAGATGCAACACTTCTGTCAAGAGGGCTCAGCGGGGGCTAAGCCACAATCTTCCCCTGCCCCCTCACCAAAAACACACAGCCATGGGGCATTTCCTGGAGGGTCTGGTGAGCTGTAGTGTTCACTATCTTTGTAAGCAGTCAGATATTCAAGGTCAGGCTGCTCAAATGCAAGTTGTCCCCTAATTTGTTTAGAAATATGCTGATAAAAGCCAATCACATATTTCTTTTTGAAATGTGGCATCTCGCACAGATGTTTAAAGTCTTGCATAAATGGCAGGTTGCATCAATACCTCTAATATTTAAAGCCTGCAGGATTCCAATAATTTAATTTTGACCAAAAGAAGAACGCCTCCTTACAATGCTACAGAACAAAAAGGGGGCCAAGCACCCAGAGGATTTTCCTAAGACATTCACTAACTGAGTCACTTGGTATTGTGCCTGGCACACAGTAACCTGTCAATAAATATTAGCCATACTCTTAGTATGACTAGCATGACTTTCACACATGCCCCTTGGTTCCTGATTCTGCATGTAAATGGCTAACTGAGCATGCTGAACCCAGTGAGGTAATAGACATGGAAGTTAGGAGTCCAGGTTCTGGAATAAGACAGGGTCAAATGTATCACTTGCTGGCAGTGTTATTGTGGGCTTCAGTCTTCTTATCTGCAAAATTGGAATCATCCTAATATTTACCTTATAAGGCTGCTTTGAGGTCTGAATTTCCACCTTCTTTCTATGGATGGGTGAAATATTTTAACCCCTTCAAACTGAGGGAGGAAAGGGCTGGTGGAGGCATCTCTTGTTGAAGTTGGGAATGGAGGCCAGGGAAAAGGGAGATGAAAGTATAGCCCAGCCTACATCAAAGTGGCCACAAGATGAGCTAATAGAAGACAGACAAATGTGACTCCATGTTTACTTAGCTTGATGTGGAGTCTTGACTTCATACAGAGGGGCCCCACCCATGCCATTTTCCTGACCTCTTCTCCTCCTTCCCAAGCTCATGGAGCAGAAGGCCCTCTCTTTTACAGTTGGCTTATGGCATTTGAGATTCTTATCTCTATTTTAAAGCATATTTTAATGCACATGCTGACCCTCTCCCCACCACCCCTACCTTTTCCCCTGGGGAAATATAATAAAGAAATAAAGACATTTGCCCTGGTCAGTGTGGCTCAGTGGATTGAGTGCGGCCTGCAAACCAAAGGGTCATTGGTTCAATTCCCAGTCAGGGCACATGCCTGGGTTGCAGGCCAGGTTCCCAGTAGGGGGCATGTGGGAGGCAAGCACACATTGATGTTTCTCACCCTCTCTTTCTCCCTCTATTCCCCTCTCTAAAAATAAATAAATACAATCTTTAAAAAAAAGAGATAAAGGCATTTGTCTTGGGTTAAAAACTGAGCTCAACTTCTACTTGTAGGGATAAGCTACAAAAAGCATTTCTCTGATGGTGGTTTTTCAATGACAATAGATTTCCTCCTTCCTTCCCTCTCTTCTTCTCTCCTTCCTTTTTTCAGTCATTGACAGAGCATTTCGTGTCCCCTGTGGCCACAGCCAGGGGCCAAGATCTGTAAACTGAATAAGTGTTCAACCACTCAGGAGAACATGATTTGCATTTCACTTTCACCTCCTCCGTCCTTTAGACCTGAAGCTCAAGGAAGAATGGAAATCCCCTCTAAATGGTTTAGTCTCTGCCATATCCAGGCTCCGCTCCAGTTTATTCTTTGCAGACTATCTCTTTCAATCTCCTCCTAATTTCCCTCTACCCTATCCCCACAGGCTCCCACCCCATCTCAGTGGCTCCTCCTTCCTCTGACACTAGTTATTCCCTCAGGACTTAGTGATTTGTTGGGTCTCTTGGGAATTTTTGTCTCCCCCACCTAGGACCTGAGCCTGGCACAAGACATGCACCTGGGGCATGCACATGAGCTACCTGAAGCCTGCCTCCAAGTGTCATTTCTCTCTGTCCTATATCACAAGAAGAAGGACAAGGCCTGGGGTTCAGGGAATACCCTCTGGGTGACTTCATACAATTTTATATAATTTGTATATTGGGATAATTTTGACTTTTAAAATGTAAATTTAAAAAGCACAGTTTAACCTGTTTTTAAAAAATAGCACATCCCTCCCCCTTTCACTTTGCCACCTGGACTTATGTCTTTATTGGTGATTCAAGTGGAGCAAAGAAAATATCTTTTTAAAACTCAAGCAAACTGATTATCTTGTATTCTGTCAGGGAAAACAAACTGAAAAAAAGAAAACACCATGTATTTACTAGGCTTCTACTTGTGAATAAATACTATTTCACACAAATGTTGAGGGGCCAAATGCAGTAATCATACAAGGATAGCTAATGGCGGGCTCCCCTGCTATCCACAGTGTGATGAGTTGTGTGTAGGGGAGGGGTTGTGCTATGAAGTCCCACCACCAGGTTTCAGTTTATATTTTGTGTAGCTGTTTTATTAAAGAGGAAGTATATATTCAAGAGATTGTCAACTCCAAGTTTCTCTTTGGAGAGGGACCCACTTGTCCATGGATACTGTCTTGGACTAGAACCCAGCAAGCAGTGTGAGCCCTGTGTGCCATTTGCTTGATGGACATGCTGGGCCACTGCAGAGTGGACGGTGATGCTGGGGGACACCCATTTGTTGCCTTCTGCTTTGAGTTATGAAACCTTGGCATTTGCAAAATGTCATGTCTGTTTTCCTTCTATACTGGAGATCATCCCATCCCATTGCTTCGGCATTTACTGAGTGCTTAGTACATGCCAGGACCCATGCCTTTTACAAAGAGGCAGGGCAGGAATGGGAGCTGGTTTCTGCATTCTAGAGGTCACAAGTTGTGAGGCAGACAGAGGAAAACCACATGATGACCACATGATGTGCTCTGTGAAGGGAGCACATATGTTGATGTGGCAGTCACCAATACCTCAGAGGGACTACAGTGAAGAGAAAGCTCACCTTTAAGGAAAATAGCCTTTGAGAAAAGTACAACTGTAGACAGTTCCGTGTGCATCCAGTCGCTGCAGTATAGTCTCTATTTTAGATCAGATTAATTCTTTCTCAATTTGAGGTGACCCCAGATTCTGCTATACAAGTATATTGTAGATGAGTTCACATTCACCTCTACGTTTCATCTCTACATTTTGCAGACATTTCTTCTCAGATCTGACCTTTATAGACTTCAACTGCTTTGTTAGAAACTCGGGTTTGTTATTGGAGTTTGCTGCCTCTGACAGTCAGTACACTTCTTGCCAGTGTTAGTGACTTCTCTTTGGGCCCCTTGGGTGGCTGACCTCTCCTTCCAGTACATAACTTTAGGAGAGCCCACAGCTGCAGGCTCTGTGGGGGGTGACACATTACCCTTGGGCTCAAGGCAGCACCCAGAAGCAGAAAGAGCTCACTTCTTCTAGGCAGCCCAACTATTGGCCCTGGCTCTGCAGCTCCAAAGCTCCTCAGCCAGAGGTGGTCTGGCACGACTTGATCAGGCTGCTTGTGAAGTCAGCAGGGGCCTCAGCACAGCTTGGTGGGTCAGGCTGGGCCAGCAGTGGTAGGGGCTGGCAGGGGTTGACAGGGTTGGGCGTTAAGAATAGCTCTTTTTTCTGTTTTGTTTATTTAGTGTGTTTTTTTTATTATGAAAGCAATACTGTCATAAAAATTCAAAGAGTATGGAATGCAATACAGAGAAAACTCCAAGTGCCTTCCCACTTAGCCCACACAAACCCACTGCCTAGCCTCAGCTGCTCAAATCAGTATCGTATGAAATCCTTCGATACTTCCTAGCATATACAAACATAAACATAAGGATGTATTTTTTGAAAATCACTTTTTTCACAAAAAGAGATATGTACATTTAAAATATGAAACATTATATAAAATATTAAAAACAGAAAGTAAAGGTAACTCAAACCCCATCTTATGTAAATTGCTTCCCCCTCTTGTTTAACAATATATTACAGGCATTTTTAATGTTCATAACTAGAGACCTATAATCATCATCTTGATCAGCTGCATATTACCCTGTTCTAAATTTTGAACATACCGATTGATAAAAACATAGACTGCTACCTGTTTTTAATACAGAAAAATCATTGCAATGAGCATACCACTACTTATGTTTCTCACCCACCTGATGCTGTTGCCACCTAAACATAAATTTTAATAATACAACTCAAAACTGCAATGAGCTAACACTTTGTATCTACTACATTGGCAAGAGTAGCATATCTGACAACATCAAGTGTTGACAAGGATAAGGAGCACTGGGCATTCTAACACATTGCTGACAGAAAAGAAAGTAAATGTTCTGTTATCAGGTTGAACATGCACATATCCTACAAGCTCGTTTTTCTGCTCCTGGGTGTCATCTACCCCTAGACCTACGGATCTACAAGAGTTATTTCCCCGTGAGTAGCATCAGCACCAGCTAGGATCTTGTTAGAAATGCAAATGATTCCTAAACAAGTCCTGAGCTCTGTGAGTGAGGTCCAGCAGTATAACCAGCCCTCCAGAGGATTCTGCTGCCCACCAAAGTTGGAGAACAACTTTTCTAGAGAATTATTTGCCCATGTGGCCAGGAGATGTGTATAAGAATGTTCAGAGCAATGTTGTTAACAACAAAACAACCACAAATTCACCAAATAGTGAAGCTGGGGAGAAATGGGGAGATTTCTGGATCTATTGGGAAGGTGGGGCTACATTTCCTGACAGTAGGATGTGAGGAGTGAGAAAACGTAGAGTCAGGGATCACACCACGGTTTTTGGCCCAAGCACTTAGAAGGATATGTAGCTATCAACTTTGCAGGGGGGGACAGCTACAGGAGGAATGGATTTAGAAGGGATGATAAGGACTTTGGTTTGGGACTCCTAGTATAATGTCTAGTAGGTATGTAAATATAGATACTGAGTAAACCTTGGGATATAGGAATCTGGAATTCAGAGGAAAGGCCTGAGTTGGAGATATAATTTTGGAGTCACCAGCCTTCAGATGGTATTTAAAGATATGAGATGTCTAGAAATCACCACAGAAATAAGTATCATGGCAAAGAGTTCCAAAGACTGAGTCCCAGGTCCCAGGAGGTGGTCCCAGGTCCTAAAAGGTTATATGAGGTGGAGGGAATGAAAAGGGGCCAAAGGAGACTTAAAAGAAGCCAGTGAGGTAGAAGGGAAAGCAGAAGAGTGAGGTATCCTGGAAGCTAAGGGGAAACTGTTTCCAGGAGTGTTTCTTATGTGAAATGCTGCTGACATGTCCTGAAAACTAATCATTGGATTTAACAGCATGCAGAGCACTGGTGGCATTGGCAAGAGCCATTTCTGTGGAGTGCTGGAAGAGATAGAAAGAAAGAAGAGAAATCAGAGACAAAGAATGTAGATAATTTTCTTCAGGATTGTTACGGGGAAGGGTAGAAGGGAAATAAATGGAGAGTAGCTGGAAGGGAAGAGGGGATCAAGAAGCTTTTTATGGTGGGAAGAATTATAGAAGGATCCAGCCAAGAGGAAATCCTTAATGACTCAAGGGAAAGGAAGAAATGTTAGCCGGATGTCCCTGAGTAGATGGCAAGAAATAGGATCAAGGGCACAAGCAAAGAATTTGACCTTTCATTCCAAGCCAGTACAGCTCATCTGGAGAACCAGGACTGAGGATGGAAGGCACAGATTATGGTGCTGGCTGGTGGGTAGATGTTTATGTGCATTACATATGACATACTATACACATGTATCATTTGTATATCAGATAATAAAATAATTTTAAATGCCAATACTGCTGAATCAAAAGAAGTCCTCATTGTTCATTTTGTTTCTTATTTCCCCATCCCAAAAATGTCAACTCGCACCTCTATGGCTCCTGAGGCATGGGAGTAACCATTTTCCCACACCCCAGGTAAGCCAGGTTTTTTTGCAAATCCATTTTAATTGTTGCATATCTGATGGAGGGGTGGGAATAATTGCATTTCCTTCATATGTTAATGGACTTCAGCAAGTCTTCCTTTGTGAATTGTTTGTTCCCTTCTTTGCCCCCATTTTCCTATTGCTTGCTTTGATAGCAGCCCTTTTTTATTTTAGGAAGATTAAGCCTTTGGCTGTCATATGTGGTAAAGATAACTCCTCATTTGTCATTTGCCTAATAACAGTTATGGTGAGTTTTGCTATACAGAAGTTTTTAATTTCTCTCTTTTATGGTTTCTGGTTTTCATGACATACTTAGAAAGGCTGTCCCCACCCCAAGATTCCTTCTAGTACTTTTATGGTTTTATTTTTTTACATTAAATTTCTGAGGCATCTGCAGTTTATTTCTGTGTGGAGTATGAGGTAAGAAAACCAATTTTTCCCCACAAGGCCAATCATTCCAACATCATCTATTGAATGGCATACTTTTAATCAACTGATTTGAAATGTTACCTTGATCATAAACTGCATTTGAAATTAACTTTTATTTCTTCCTTTATTCACTTTGCAAATATTCCTTGTGTGTCCACTCAGGCACATACCAGGTACTTGGGTGAGTGGGCAAGTATATGATATGTTTCCTATATACAGGAGGAAGGGAGGCCAGAGACAGGAAACAGTGACTGTGTAGGGTTATGAGTGTGGGGGCAGAAGTGCAGCCCAGGAAGAGACACTTAACTGGGTCTTGGTGGTTAGGGATTACTTTCTGCTACATAAATAAGTACAGTAGGAGTTAACCAATGCAAGAGAACCTCAGTCAAAAGTAAGATTTGGAGACAAGAAAACAAGGCTTATGTGGGAATCAGCAGAAATTCCAGTGTGGCTCCAGTGTGCTGGGAGCTTGGAGCTTGAGAGTTGGGAGAAGAGATGAGAGCTACAGCAGGCACCAGACCTGGACAGGAAGAGGGAAAGGGGAGTCTCAGATGGCACCCCAGTTTCCAGCTTGGACAGCTGGGTGAATGCAGTCACCTAATTGCTCAGACAGAGAACACAAGGTGGGGGGCTACTCCAGCTGATTTGTAGAGAGTAGATGCAGCAGGCAAGAGTGGAAGGTGGGGATGAGGGAGGAGGTCCGAGAGGATACTGGCTTCGACTACAATGGTGGTGAGAGTGGAAGTAGGCAGGGTATATTTTGGAGGTAGAGCTGCAGTCAGGATTTGCTGATAACTGGATGTAAGAGATGAGGGAAGGGGAGAAAATCAAATGAACAACCTAAGCCTTTGGCCTGCACACCTGGGAGGTGCTACTGATGGAGATAAGGAAGACTTAGAAGAGAGAGGTTTGGAGGGTGTGGGGTAGGGA